AATATACCATCCACTTCACCTCACACATAACTGCATTAATCTCTAGAATTTGGGTCTGTCTTATACTTTCCATCTACTTAACTTTTTGAACATATGAAATGCAGTGACAATAATAATTTTAATGTCTTACTAGTTATAGCATCTATATCAATTATGGATTGGTTTCAGTTCATTGATTTTACTTCTCATTATGGAAGTGGAAGTTTGTGGAATTTTGCCTTGTTGGGTGCTTGGTATTTCTGAGTGCCTACAAATCTGCTTAAGCTTTGTTCTAAGTGTAGTTAAGTTTCTTGAAAGCAACTTGATTCCTTCAGGTCTTGTATTTAAGATGTGTTATCTGAGGCCAAAACAGTATTAAGCCCAGAAGCAAACATAATGGATTTTGACAATTGATTTGAAGCTGACTCAAGGAAGTAAAAATGGTCAGATGACTCTCAAGTTCTCAACGTAGACAAGTGAGAAATAATTAGAATTCCAGAATTAGAGGATAAAAAAGACCATCATATCTGAAAAAAAAAGTTTCTTTATGACAAATACATGAAAATAATACAACGAAAAATCAAATCCTGTGCTTAGAATGAAATCTGAGAATCTCAAATTCTGTCCCTCCTCCATCCTACAGTCCATAGTCAAACTTTGTTAATTGTTTCTGCATGAGTTCTTCTGGTAGTTAATTCCACTATTCTAAACAATACAAGCATCTCTTTTTCTTTACTTAGAATGTGAGGTGCCATTTACTGACTCTCTGTTATAAAAGGTAAGGCTTGGGCTCACTTACACAAAGCTTCTTCTCTCCTATGTTACAAATATTGATAACTATGTTGTTATTCTTAGCTCTTCCACCATTTAGTAAACTTGGCAGCTATTCAATGGATCCAATATAACTACTTCTGGGACTCTCAAAGGAAGGTGTTTCTAGAATCATAGTAAAATAGATTTTCTTTTATTATATCAAGTGCTTCAAATTAAGTATGACAATTTTTCAGCTTTTGGGTTTTTTTTTCCTAGAGTTTCTGAATATCTCCATGTTTCTTTAAAAGGGGGTTGGGCAGTTACAAACCTTCATTATATCTTCATACTTATCTTGCCTTCCTTTCAGTTCTTTGGTTTGTTACATACCCATTTGTTTTCTGCGGGGGAAACTTACTCCAGACATTCCTGATTTCCTGCTTCAATATAGCTTAGCTTCTCCCTTGGCCTGCTACAGATTTCAGGGGATTCTCTTTTTTTTTTTTTTTTAACAGTTTGGAGACAGTATTTCATGGATCCTATATATTTCTCTTTATTGGTCTTTCCCAATGCTCAAATCTCTCTCTTATCCTTCATCCTCCAGTCCTGTGGGACTTCCCTTCACATCTGAACATGCCATGTTTTCTCTTAGTTTGGAGCCATCAAAAGGCTCTTACCTCTGCCAGAGGCACTTTCCTATCCACTTGTTCTAGCTAAGTCCTGTTCACATTTGGGGTCTCAGTTTAAAAGAACACTTGCTCTGTGATATTTTATCACCCTCTCTGCTCCTTCTATGACCACACCATTTAGATTCTGCCCCTCTTCTGTGGAAGTCACAAAACACTGAGCCTTCCCTGTCATAATACTTTCCACTGTTTATTAAATTACTTATAAACTCTAAGCAGGCAAGAAAATATGTTTACCACATTTTCAGAGTTGCTGCCTGATAACCATGGCACTTAATAAACAACCAATAATTTTATATAAATGATTTAATGAATGAATAAAATATACTCTACAATCAAAGAATAGTTAAATAACGAAGTTAGACCAACTTAACGTTCTAGTCATTAACATGATCATTTTTAAAGGAAAGATAATAAAAAATATATATGTCAAACTTATAAAAATAGACTTTGACTGAAACAATATAAAAGAGTTGGCAGGTTTAGGAGTATTTTCTACTTTTACCCTTAACCTTTTTTTTTTTTTTTACAATACTTTGTTTTCTTTTTTAAAAACTTTTTATTTTGTATTTGGGCCTAGCTAATAACAACCTTGTGATAGTTTCAGCTGAAGAGTGAAGGGACTCATACATATACATGTATCAATTCTCTCCCAAACTAATGCTTTCGAACACAGCTTCCATGTTCTTAAAACAGTTAAACAATTATTAAACAAATATACCCTGTGAATTCTTTGATCATTATAAATATTTATAAGTATGAAATGTAAGAATAAAATAAAATAAATATCTTAGCAAATAAGAGTTTTTTCTTTTAAATATTTATAGCTTTGATTAAACCTAAATAATGAAAGAAGTTTTGGAGTATCCATAATTGATATATCTCTGACATATTCCCATAGTTAGCCCCTTAAAAAATTTAATATAAACACTGCTCTAACTGCTATGATATGTAGAAGTATTACAATACTCTTCTAATTAAAACTTTCCTGAAGTCTCTAGAAGGAAGAAAGAGAAGAAATAAAATAGGAATAAAGAAGGAAATTATCCGGCTAAAACTCTTTAAAAATAATTGTGCAAATGAGTATAAGTCTACAATTAAATATAGAGATTTTTTAATCTTGAATAATATGATTAAAAATTTTCCTTATAGTGACCTTTTAGCCACCTAGCACTTCACTAAGACAAACACTTATTAGCCTTGGTTAACAGTGGCTCACAGCAACAAGAGCTGGAATGGCGAGATGTGCACTTGTAATGGCATGACCCCATAAAAGGGGTCAAAGGCAATACCCAAAATCTAAGTGACGGGCAAGGGTGAGAAGTGCAGCAAACACAGTGGAAGCATACAGCCAAGTTGGCTGAATGAACTGGAAAAAGAGCCAAAATGTAAACCAAACCCAAAGCAGGCTCTCAAGTCAGAATGAAGGCCAGGTCAGGCGTGAAGGAGGCATAGGTTGAGGACTTGTGGACAATATGGGCAGGACTGGGCTTTCCTCCTTCCTCTCTGAGAAGGAATATCTCTTCTCCATTCATGGATATGTGTGGGTTACTTGATATTATGAGCCTAGAAATTTACCTGCTGGCCAATCTACTTCAGAAAGACAATTCACATCTCCCACACTCACTCATAATGTTATGTTTAGGTGTATCTTCGTGTCAAGGAAAAGATATCAGAACGATTAAGATGCTGAGTAGTTCTCCAAAGTCATAATATGAGTCAAAGTTGAACCAGAGTGTAAGATCCATTTCCTCACTCCTAGCATCATTACATCTGCCAGTTATGCTGCTTCCCATCAAAATGATTTAAAGTCATTCTTTTTTTTCCCCCTAATGCTACGCACCAATGATGCCACATAAATCTCAAGGTAATATTAAAGTTATACTTCTTTTCAGAATGTAAAGGCAATCTCTTTACATAAAGGATGGAAAAACAATATTAAATGACAGGGTTTTTTGTTGTGTTTTTTTTTAAGTTAAAGAGATAATCCTTACATGTTACCTTTTTTTGTTTTCCCCCCTTTTTGGCCATGCCACACAGTTTTGCAGGATCTCAGGTCCCTGACAAGGGATTGGGCCTGGGCCACATCAGTGAAGGCCCAGAATCCTAAGCACTAGGCCATCAGGGAACTACCCTACATTTTACTTTTATATCTGAAAAATAAACATATTTTAAAAATATGAGCTAAGTCTTAGCAACAATACAGTCTGTCTCCCTGTATATTATACAAACCCTTATATAGAGTACACAGAATAAAAGTTAACCCTGTGGGATTTAAAGTCAAACACACAAATATTTTCATCACCATTCTGAAAAACCACGTGATCTTGGGCAAAAGACTTACCTTCTTAAGTTATGGCTTCTCCACCCATAAAATGGGGATAATAACAGTAACTCCCTCAGAGGGCTGTTTGTTGTAAGGATTCAGTGAGGAAGGCACTTAAAGGCTTAGCACAGTTCCGAGCACCACAGTCCGCGCTCATTCAATGTGTATTAATCATAGTAGTAACAGCGCCCCTCAGACTTATGGCCGGAAGCTCACCAGCTGGAGCTGAGACTCCTCCCAGCTCTTCCGTTACGCTGGTATCCATGACATGGCACTTGTGTCATCCTTGAGAGCATGTCAGGGAGATGGCATGCCTCCCAGTGTTTTTCAGGAGCACTGGTGTCACACCACACACACAGCTCTGAAAATCTAAGCAGATTTCAAAGCTGCTTAAATAGCTTTCTTGGCCAAGAGACACGTGAGTTGCCAACTGGCAGTGGGACGATTTTCCACTCAAACTTGGCAGCAAAAGAATTTAAACAGAAAGCTGGGAGGAAGGCAAGGGAAATAATGTGCTTCCTTCCTCAAGGCAGTTTTGGACCCTTTGGCAACAGAGAAGTATTTTAAAGAAGACAGAGAAATTTTGTATGAATATTACAGTATTTAAAGTTTTAACTTACTAATTTTTAATTGGAGGAAAATTGTTTTACAATGTTGTGTTGGTTCCTGCCATGCACCAACACGAATCAGCCATCAGTATACAAATGCCCCCTCCCCTTGGATCTCCCTCCCACCTCCCACCATATCTCACCCCTCCAGGCTTTCACAGAGTTCTGGGTTGAGCTCCCTGCATCATACAGCAAATTCCCACTGGCCATCTATTTATGCATGGTAATATATATGTTTCAATGCTACTCTCTCAGTTGGAAGTAAGTCACAAAAGAAAAACAAACATCATATATTAACGCATATACATAGAATCTAGAAAAATGGTACCTATGAACCTATTTGTAGAGCAGTAATAGAGACACAGACATAGAGAACAGACTTGTGGACACAGTGGGGGAAGGAGAGAGTGGCACAAACTGAGACCGTATTTATTTTTAATCTATCAAAAATAAATTGAAAAGGAATGCTAGTTCTCATCTTTCCCTTTCTACCATTTTTTTTTTTTTTTTCGTATTTGGTGAGCTCTTTTTTAGAAGATACTGGAATTTCTTCATTTGGGTGCTCTAATTTAGGTAAGTGAATTTGGATTTTTAATTTATTTTTATTGCAGTAGAGTTGATTCAGGTGTACAGAAAAGGGATTCAGTTATATATTTTCTTTTTAAGATTATTTTCCACTATAGATTATAAAATATTGAATATAGTTCCCTGTGCTATACTTAACTTTAGAGCCTAGGTCAGAGCCACAAGCTCCACTAACTGAACACTTGTTCCCTGGGGGAGAGATTTTGTTTCTAAAACCTGTTCAGCCGTCACCATGGTTTACCTTTACAACTGCTTTACACTTCCCATCCCGAACAAAAGAACTGCCATCTGTAAATATTTCCGGGTCAGGATTGTCTAATGGGGTATTCATCAGATCTTCTTGAGCTGCATAGTTTAAAGATAGAAATTGAGGACAGTCGTGATCAGGTGTCTCATTTTCCTTCTCAGGAAGGAAAGTGGCAGGATAGAAGTTCCCACACACTTTAAGCTTAGTTATTGGTCCTTCTAACAACAATAACTGATGTTTAAGAAGCCGACTGTCTGTCATACAAATACCACCCTTAGAGTTTAAGATTCCACTCCTGTAGGCTGCTGGCGAGGCCCTCAGGGTTGTGTCAAGTCGTTGCTGCTTATATGTCATATACACAGTAGTGTGTATTTATTAATCCCAAATTCCTAATTTCCCTCTCCCTGTTCCCCTTTGCTAACCATAAGTTTGTTTTCTATGGCTGTGAGTCTGTTTCTGTTTTGTAAATAAGTTCATCTGTATCTTTTTTTTTTAGTGAATCTGAATATTTTGAGTCAAACAACAGACATTTGACTTCAGTGATCCTGCAGAATTTCTTCTCTTCCTTTAAAACATAAAATAGAGCCTAATAACAAAATAAGTTTTTTCATATTTCCATTATTCTTGTAAAAGAGTAAGAGGAATCAGGGTAAGTGCCAATGGAAGTCTAAACCTTCTCGAAGAGGAACTCCAACTCAAAGTATTATGATGGCCTTCTAACCAAATTAGGAAACTTGCAAGGATAAAGTTTCTACATGCTTCCTCAGAAAACACTACTCCAAAGTACTAACAGGAAATGTTTTCTTATTTATGTATATATGGTTTAATTCAAAAAAAGATTTGAGGCAAGGCATAATGATATATACAACATATTGAGATTAAAAAATTGAGAAACTATAAAATAATTAAAACATTTGTTAGAAAAAATAAAGACATCAGTGCTAAGTGTGGGCCTTAAACTTGCTCTAAGCATCCTAGCAGTCAATAGAAAGAACTGAGTTATATTATTTGATATCTATAAGATTAAAAACAACAATCATGTGCCTAAGAAAACTACTTTTATCTAATATATTCCTCCTGCTAGGGTTTGTAACAATCTCCTTACTTGTAAACTAGAACACTATTACTCAAGCTAAAAAGGGAAGAGAGAATACTATTATATTTCAGAGATTTCTACTGCCACATTTAAGGGAAGAATGTCATGATATCAACACAACTAAATAAGTATACCTAGTTAAAACAAAGAACACCCAGTAAACATATTCCATAATAATATTTCCATGTATAATTTTTAGTAATTGATGCCCCTTAAGAAAATCTGTAAGAAAGACATCATTGATGTCAATGATGAATGACTTACCATTTAGACACTTTAAATGGGAGACTAGAACTTTCACACTTCATGGAGTTATAAGTGTCTGTGGTAGAGAGAATAACGGCTCTCCAAAAGTGTCCATGTCCTAACACCAGACACCTATGAATGTCACATGTCAAAGGCACTTTGCAGACGTTATTAAGGAGCTTGAGATGGTGAAATCACTCTGCGCTGTCTGGATGGTTTATACAATCACAAGGGTCCATCCAAGAAGGAGGGAGGAGGGGCGGAGCTGGAGAGGTGAAGAGGGATTGGAGAAGCAGAGGCTGGAGTGACATAAGGAAGGTGACACAAGCCACGGAAGGAGGTGGTCACCTCCTCCCTTAGACCCTGCAAAGGGAAAGAAGATGAATTCCTCCCCAAAACTTTCAGAAAGAACACAGCCCTGCTGCTATCTTGATTTGAGGACTTCTGACCTCTAAAACTATAAGACAGTAACTTTGTGCTGTTTTAAGCTCACCAAATCTGTAGCAATTTGTTAGAGAAACAATGGCAACTAATTTAGTGACTACAAATTCAATATATTACCAATTGACCCCATGAATTTCTACCTAGATACTAAAAATATATTAGTGATAAATAGAACAAAAAAATGCTATTTGCAGCAACAGGGATGAACCTAGAGATTGTCATACTAAGTGAAGTAAGTTTGTCTTCACAGAGAGAGACAAATATCATATGATATCATTTACATGTAGAATCTAAAAAGATTGTACAAATGAACTTATTCATAAAATAGAAATAAAGTCACAGATGTAGAAAACAAACATGGTTATGCAGGGTGAGGGGATAAATTGGAAGATTGGGTTAACACATACACACTACTATATATAAAGCAGATAACTAACAAAGACCTACTGTGTATCACAAGGAACTCTGCTCAACATAATGACCCATATGGGAAAAGGAACTGAAAAAGCACGGGTATACGTATAACTGATTCACTTTGCTGTACACTTAAAACTAACACATTGTAAATCAACTAAGCACCAATAAAAATTATTTTTAAAATGAAATAATGTTCACTTTAATACATATCTCCTATAGTTTAGCTAAGCCACAAAATGAGCTCCAGGTATATCTAGATATTCTGAATATCACAATTTTCAAAGTGTGCTTCATAATACACCACTGGTTCTATGGGATGTTGAAAGGTGTTAAGCATACACACAAAAGAATTCTAAAAGTCCAATAACTTGAAAAAATTATACCATATAATTGTAAAACAATTGAAACTTTTTTTTTTAATTATCTCGAGTCTAGATTTACCAAGAAACTTTTTGGGTTGTTCAAAGGATCCACATCTACCACCACCGCACTATCAGGAACAGGTAAAAGATGGAGGCAAAATAGTAGAATAAATGTACTAAATGACAGAATGAAAGCATCCTTCCAACTTTAGGAAATCTGGCTAACCAACCCTGTTCACAATTTCATACTCTCCAGCTCATGTTCATCATACCCTGTTCACTGAGCACAGGCCTTCTCAGCAAGGAGATTCTCAGATAACACAGCTGCTTCTTGGTGTCTCTGCCACCTGCCACTGACATAATCCATGAGAGCTTGCCCAAGATTTTATTTGGAGGAAAGACACAAGGACTATTCACCAATCAAACTGAAAAACATAAGCCATTTACCTCCCTTGTTTAACCCATTCCCAAATATGTAATTCATGCTCCCAACATACTCACCCTCCTCCATCTAATTCTCTCCAACTATAGACAGGAAAATATTTGCCAAGAATATATTTAGGTGAACACAAATCTCCAACAGGGACACTGCAGAAACCTCAGACTTACCCCTAAGGAACAAGGCTTCCGGGGGCACAGAATGCCAAGACTGTCAACAGGAGCCACAGCTTGGTCTCTCCTGAGTACTACAGTAAACATTTCAACAGATCTCTCTGCTGCAGAGCTAATGAGTGCCATATATCTTTAAGAGAAAAGGAAAACAGTAGAGTGTTTTTCACATATTTATGACCCAGAAACCTTCCTCTCTGGAACATTTACAGAATAGCATTTGGAAAATAGTTTGCTAGTTATATATGAAATTTCCTAAAATCAGTCAATTCCTTTGAGGATTATCATGTGAAAAGGGAAAAATAAAGAGCCTATGTAAAAAAAAAAAAAAATTTTACATGGGAAAATTGAGAATTCATTTTAGCCAAATAACAATATAAAAAAGCTTGTTTCTAGACATCAAGCAGGAGATTTGGGCCCTTACTGATGAACTAGCGTAGCCAGGTTAACTCAAGTAAGGATAAATTAAGAATGCTCAGTTGTCAGGTGAACAATTAAAGCAGAAATTGAGGCCATGAGGCCAAAACAGGATCAGCATCAAGGAGGGCAACATTTGGCATGAAACAGACACAGTTAATAGAAATCCAGGTCCTCCCAAGTCACCCCCACTTGCCAACTCAAACATCAAGTGCAGAAGATAAAACAACATGACTCAAAACCAGTACCTCAGCACCATCCCAGGTACTAAAAGCTTAAAAATGTAAGGAAAAAAATGTTTCAGGCAAAACAAATGACATTCTGAAAAATGACTGTCATTATTTTTAAAACCATAGAAAATAGCCACATATATCTAACAAGCAAATAATAGCTCATCTACTGGGAATTGCATAGGCCTTTGGCCCAGAATAACTTCCTTACTTATAATCCTGTTTTTCCTAAAGAACTTTAAAAAATACTATTTTTGAGAACTTTCCAAAAAATTAGCATAAAAAACTTTATTTCCACAGAAAGTTATCAACCAAACTTCTCTGTTTCACAATAATTTTAAAAGTTATCCACCAAATGTTTATATTCCAGGAAGAAAAACACAATTAAGAAGTATTTTTTTAAACTTAGGAAAGTCTATAAACACCCACAACTACACCCACTAACACATAAAACCCAAATTAGTGTAACACAGCTTAGTCTTTAAAAAAGAACTTCACAGCAAAAGGCAGCCATTATTATCTTAGATGAGCTTATCTGTCTTTTGGTCATCAAGATGATGTCATTACATTACTTATATTTTCACAAAACACACTGTAAATATAATCACAATAATTAATATATTTTTTCAGTAAAACTCATCCATTCAACAGATATTTATTGAATGTTTTATCTAAACAATGAGCTAACAATGGTAAATATTAATCTATGTGTCTGTCCCATAATTTCATGCATTAAATTCTTCTCCCCACAGATATAAAGTTACTAGTGATCCCAAAAATAGTATTTGAGAGTTATGCATCTTTAGTTCTTTATGGAGATACATAAAGGGAAGGTAACTTTTCTAAGTCTTAAAGTGAGGCAATCTTTTAAGTCGTGTATTCTGGAAGTTTACTATATTTTTATATGATTTTGGAGGACAGGCTTTCTTAAAATGTTGAATTAGTTTACCTATTCTGTGAAGTTTATGAGTAGTATATAATTTGGTCAGGTATTTTGAGACCAAAGAAATAATGTCAAAGAGAAAAAAAGCATGTTAGTACATGCTGTCTTAGTATAAAGATCTATTTTAAAAGTTAAACAATTAATTTTTAAAAATAAAGCTAAATCTACAGAGGTTTTTTTTTTATATATGTCTATTTTTACTTAATGTTAAAGTATGATAGTACTTCCACTTGATAAAGCATTTTAGCAGAAACACTTACCATAAAAGTAGCCATGAAAACTGAGATGGTACTTTGCAACCTGGAATATTTCAAAAGAAAATTGCCTAAACAAAAGATTTTTCAATAGCTAGACAAGCAGCTCTATTTGTAAAAAGGAAATTGCTTCCCAAAGAAATAACAGGAATGAACCCTAAATTCTTACAACTGTAAATTATTTTTCTAAAAATATTGTGGTCTAGACACTTAATATGAAGATTAAACCAGATATTTTTGGAAAGTATTTTAACTTCGATTTAATAGCTATATTTCTCACTACAGCTATCTTTTAGATGTAATGTCATATTACATAAGTAATCTCAGTACACAAAGAGGGAGTACTGACACTTCTTGTAGGAGCAGTTAAACCATAGTATCATGTAATTTAAGCAACACTCTCAGGCAAATCTTTTAACAATCAACAGTTTTTTCTAACTATGTAATCAACATTTGCATTAGAGATAAAAACATTAATCCTCCTCCTATGAATCCTTAGTACTGAGGATTCAGTACAGTTTTGTTTTCTGTGTTGTTTTTTTTAATGTTTAATGAAGGAGGTTTTATTTTTTATCTTCTGCAATAAATAAAGATATTAAGAATTATCTTAATTCAAAAAATTACACATTGTAAAGAACTGGGTGCACTAAGAGTAGTTTAGTTAAAAATAAAGTTATTTGGACCCGAAATTTGTGTAGAGAAATTGGATTAAATCTACAGCTCATTCAGTCTAGTAATTTACAAACAACATAATATGCTATGATTCACATTCATGCACATGAAGAAACTGAAATTGAGAGATGTTAAGAAACTAGCCCAAGACCAAATAGCTTGTGAATAGCAGAACTGGGCCTCAGTCACCTTCAGTAGCCAAGAGTACCTCCTGGGCCTTCCCAACACCAACATTTCCTGTTTCATTCCACAATGGACATCAAATTTCAATGTACTCTAAAAATACACAAAAATTCAGAGCAAATTCTATAAAGCAGTTATGCTCAGCCTTGCAAAATCATTATTGGAAGTATTTATGTTTTCTTGGGCTAGAAAAATATTTCATAATTCACCAAGTTTTTGTTCTAATAAACTATTTTAAGCATAAGTTTCCTTTCAGGAAAAAATATATGCATACCCTTATTCATATACATAGAAAAGGAAAGTTAAGAGAGCTAAACATGCATCTCCCCAAAATTCACACAGGATAGACTCTCTAGTTCCATTCCCATAAGACAGAAAGCTCTTCCCCAGTCATGATTCTCAAGCCTACTGAACGACATCTTCCCCGGGTCAAACCTGTGGCCCTACAGTGGGTGTCACAGAGACAATCTCAAAGGCACCAAAGTGGGAGAAAACTCTCTTCAGTAGTATTCTTCACTAATTTTTTTTTAATTAAAAAGAAACAGAAAAGCATTCTATATATAAAGAATAACTTCCCTTTCTCTTTTATTCAGAGGTTTGTTAGACTTACTCCAAGTATAAATTAAGCATTCCCACTATAAAATATTTAGGGCTTCATTTCAAATTCTTTTTTGTTGTTATAGTAATTCATATTCAGGCAGATTCCAGGCCTTCAAGGCAACATGAATTCATTTTTAAACCAATTTCCTTGTTTAGTAGGAAGGCATAGAAGGTCCCAACTCCTCATGTAATGAGATTTTTCTCATTAAGAAGGGCATACACACCAAGGAAACCAGATCTGAAAGAGACACGTGCACCCCAATGTTCATCGCAGCACTGTTTATAATAGCCAGGACATGGAAGCAACCTAGATGCCCATCAGCAGACGAATGGATGAGGAAGCTGTGGTACATATACACCATGGAATATTACTCAGCCATTAAAAAGAATTCATTTGAATCAGTTCTAATGAGATGGATGAAACTGGAGCCCATTATACAGAGCGAAGTAAGCCAGAAAGATAAAGACCATTACAGTATACTAACACATATATATGGAATTTAGAAAGATGGTAACGATAACCCTATATGCAAAACAGAAAAAGAGACTCAGATGTATAGAACAGACTTGTGGACTCTGGGAGAAGGCGAGGGTGGGATGTTTCAAGAGAACAGCATGGAAACATGTATATTATCTAGGGTGAAACAGATCACCAGCCCAGCTTGGGTGCATGAGACAAGTGCTCGGGCCTGGTGCACTGGGAAGACCCAGAGGGATCAGGTGGAGAAGGAGGTGGGAGGGGGGACCGGGATGGGGAATACATGTAAATCCATGGCTAATTCATTTCAATGTATGACAAAAATCACTGCAATGATGTAAAGTAATTAGCCTCCAACTAATAAAAATAAATGGAAAAAAAAAAGGCTTTTAAATAAACTAAATCTAAGTGTTTTCCTAGTAATCCTAACACTTGTAATATGATGCTTATTTCAATCGCTGAAGAAGCTGTTATCAATGCTAGTGTGGGTCCATCAACACGCCCCGGCCCCCTTCTCACCTGCTGAGATTCTTGTGTTCCTTAGAGACTGAGCTCCTTTACCACCAGCTCCCAAAGGTCTCTGTTAACTCCTGCTAGGTTGGAACAGGTGTCCTTCCAACATGACGTTATAGCATCCTAGTGAAAAGCTCTGTTAGCATATTGTTCTATGACAATATCTTTACATGCTTGTCCTCACTTATAGAATGCAAACCCGTGGAAGGCAGGAATCTTATCTTATTTGCCTCTTAATTGCATTTAATAAATACATTTGGAGGAAAGGAAGATTTTTAACAATTCAAATACAGTTCCTTTCCTTCCCTTCTCTTCCCTTATCCTCTTCTTCCTTTCTTTTCTGGATAATTCAGACTATTATCATGTGGGGCAGAACAAGACAGGCATCAAGGTATAAAACTCAAGCAGGGTGAGGAAGATATCCAAGTAAGAGGGCTCCCAGTCTGAGAGTCAGTTTCTGAGGTCAGGAAAGCATTCAGGTGAGGGACAGACTTGGGGCAAGAAGTTCGAAGCCAAGTGGAGTGACACAGGGGTCACCTGCAGGAAGTACAGGTTATCCGAGCCACAGCAGGGAAAAGAAGGAGTCCATGCATTGTGGTAGCTTCTCAGTGTGAAATCAGAGCCCAAAAAGAGTGAAGAAGGGAAGAGCGCATCCACTGAACTTGGGCATCAGAGCTGCAGTTGGGTAGGGGCGTGGCCACATGGAGCAGCACCCTGGATGGGGTGTCAGAGCCCAGGATATCCCACAGGATATCCTGCGGGAGGCTATCCCACAGAGGGTCAGAGCCTGAGTGGAGTGATGCAGGCATCTATGCAAGAGTGGCAACCCAATGTGGAGATCAGAGTACCTAAGCCAGTGAGGACGACAAAGGAGTGACGGTCAGGAGCAGTCTAGCCTGCACAGACAGAGGAAATGCTTCCATGCCAGGGCGTGGGGAGGTGTGTGAGGTGCTGCCTAAACACTGCGAGAAGAGCACTCGCACGGGTGTTCAGGGGATGCTGGCCAAGCCCTCTTACTGGTGGACACCAAGACCTGGCCTGGGGCATCGGAACTAGGACCTGGCCCGTTCCAATGTGGTGACGGAGGCATCCGCACAAGACAACAGTGACACTGGTTACATACTGGGGGGTTGAACAAGCAAGTAAACCTTAACAAAGACATAGTCATAAGAGCCGGAGTCAAGTTTCTGAATGTCTAGGAAGAGTAGCCAATACAGAAGGGGCCAAGATGCAAATGAATCCTGAGGAATTTTGTTTCAGAATCTAAAGTCATCTGCAAAAACAAATGGGTAAGTCAAGTTATAAATGCTTTAAATTTTAAATGACTTTGAAGGATTATCAGCATATTTTGAATACATCATAGTATATTTTAGATCATATGAAAATATTCACATTATAGTGTATTCATCTTCATAGATTTAAAGTTTTGAAATAAAGCTTCAAAAGTATCAGCGGAGTGAGTGAGGAGGGTCACTCACTAAATGTGGTAAACCCAGACCTTGGGAGACCCAGGGTGCTTTATCCCAGCTTCCCCTCCTCTCTGGCCCCACTCCCTGCCCCAGGGTACAGAGTAAGTATGTCAAGTGGGTAGAATGCCTTCTGATATGACCGTTAATCCCATTCATACCGCTGTGTGTCCAGTGGCCCCACAGGACAGGCACACATGGCCGCCATTCCTGTAAAGCACAGGAGACGACGGACCACTCCAGCCCCGTCTGTCGTCGCCTTCTCCAACGCTCCTGTTCAAATAGCTCAGCAGATCAGCCAGTCAGCTGCCGGCCAGCTACTTTTTGCAGAATCCCCATTCTCTATAAACAATTCACTTGGAAGCCAAATATAACCTTCTTCTCTCTCTCCCTGGCTTCCTCTCTCTGCAGAGTTCTCTTACATAAACCAAAGGAGTCTATAGTTAGAAGGGGCTGGTATGTGGTTGGGAATTGCCCATCTGGTTTGAGCCCTGGAGGGTCTGTCTCACTCCAGCTCTCTCTAGAATATGAGATGCTGGCTGTCCAATGTGTCCTTGGTTTTGTCCCCTAGTCCAGAGCAAAAGAAAAAAAGAGGAAGAAAAAAAAGACACTCAAAAGCCTAATACATAAACTAATGCAAAGGAAAATGTAACACAAAACTGGTGACCATGGTTCAAATCCAGTAGGAGACTGACTGACTGTCACAGGAAACAAGAAAAAAAGGGAATTTACATAGGTACTGTCTGAATCTTTACCAAGACTATATTCACATATTATCTGTGTAATTTAAAATGAATCAAAAGCAATGAAAAATTTAAAAACTAATTATTAACAGCCAAAAAAGTAACAGTGAATATAAATCACAGAATGAACTTTGTCACCATAAAATCAATGAAACAAATCAAAAGATGAAAAATTTGGCCATATAATATAAATAAATGTATATAGGCTTAGCTCATATAAATAAATTAAAAAAAACATTAAAACCCTAATGGTTAAATGAGCTAAAAAATATGAGTTAACTATTCACAAAAGAAGAAAAATAATTGTATAAGTTTGAAAATTAACCAATATCTATTGCTTGCCTCAGGTATTGAATTATTGGTAGGGTTTCTTCCCTTTTTTTTTCTTATA